AGCACAAAGCACCAAGGTTGTGGAGAAGAGGAATGATGGTAGAGAAGGCCTCTAGGGATGACAAGTGGCCTGGGTTTTTCAAGATGGCTAAGAGTAATTTCTATCACTGTCTTGGAAAAGTAACACCTAATTCTCAGAGACTGTTATAATTAAAGCATTATTCTTAAAAATGGAGAGTAACGGGAAAGAATCTAAATGAAAAGTATCCGAGAAGAAAGAGCTCGGCATGGTAGTGTGCACCTGTAGTCTCAGCAACTCAGGATGCTGAGGCAGGAGGATCCCCTGAGCCCAGGAGTTCGAGGCTGCAATAAGCTATGATCACATCAATGCATTTCAGCCTAGGCAACAGAGCAAGATCCTGTCAAAACAAAACAAAACAAAACAAAAACAACAAAGAAAAAGAAAGAAAAAAAAAAAACTCTCAACATTCTTTATGCTGTTGTTCAAGAATTCTGCCCACTGAAGCATGTATGATACTGTTAATTGAAATAACTGTCCTGGTTTTATCAGAATACCTAACATCTCAATTTCAGGGCTTTCACATTACTTAACATTTGTATTATTCATTAAAGTTAAACCTATAGAACTTTCAAAACATTTATAGAGCAAAAAGGTAGGTAAAAGTTCAGATGAGGGCAATTTTCTTCAAAACCACCCCAAAATGACAAAATTATATACCCTCATATTACCTTCATTAACAAAAAACTCTGCTAAATAAAATGCAGTTTTCACAGCATTAGGTGCATGGGAAATGCCATCCAAATTCTTCCACTCATAAGGTGCTTTCTCTGGATGCCACTGGACACCATATACTGGATATTTATATCCTGTAAGAAGAACACAAATTAGTAAGTACTAAGAATGGTTTAAGATGTTACTTATAATGAAATTGGTTTATGTCTTATGTAAAACATATTATAACTCACAATAGCAGACAAGGTAAAATTGTACATATTCTCTCAGACACAAAATGATTTCCATTCACACTCACTGTGAAAATTCCCAGTAATGTACTTCACTGATTAGCAAACCTTTTACAATTTGTAGAGCGATTTGCTTTTCAAGATATTCATAGCAAAGTAGAAGCTGAGCTGAGGAATGTATCCCCATCCAAAAGTCAGACGCACATTTTATTGGTGATACAAGCTTCTTCCACAGTTGGTCTCTTTCTCTCCCGTCTCATAACATGCTTTCCTGTCCTCCCATAACGACTTATTCCTATGAGAATGAAGTATGGCAGCACTTCTGGTGTCCTTTCACACAAGCCAGTTTGTCCCAGCCTGAACTGTGTCTCTCTCTCTCAGTCTATGGAATGACTGATGACTTTGTGGTATACATTTTTAAAATATTTTTTAGAAATTTAAAAGCAGACATAAAACAAGAAGGGACACAGAGCTACTGACAATCGTCGAAGCTAACTGAGACAGACACCCAGGGTTCATATTACTCTCTCTACTTTTACATAAGCATGAACAATTCCACAATTCAAGAAAATGTAAATATGTGTAATAGTTACCTTCAGAAAAATACACATATTCATCTCTTTTTCAGATGTGCCTTTCCCTCATTTTGATTTGAAAAAAATAAAAATCTCCCCTCTATTATTTTTTGCTTTGGAATTGTAACCATGACCACCATCAGAAAGTACTTGGAGAAATGAAGACAATTAATGAAAGAAGAGATATCTAGGGGTAAGAGCACTGTCCATTCTCATCCCAGTAAGCTTTCTGACTAGAGAGCAGGCCACGGAAGGGAAACATTTTATCCCAGCTTTGTAGATATTCACGAGAGGAAACACCCGCCTCATGCAATTCCAGGCACTCAGCTCCCTGCCTCCCCCACTTTCGTGTGACACTACCATTTCTTCCTCTCTATTCTGGGACTACCTGTGAAGCTACCGGCAAGAGGCCCACAGGCTGGGGGACTAGCAAATTAACTGTGATGTACGGTTAACTGAAAGGCAGATCTTCTAGTAAATTTTCCAATGCATGAAGCACTATTGAGGACAAAAAATGTCTTAAATCATAAAAAGGATTTACATCCAATAGAATCAGAGACAGAAAGAGAAAGAGAGACATACATAACATATATATAAGAAGTCTTCAAAAAGCTCATGGAAAATGTGTATTATGAAAAAAATTATGCAAGGGTTTCAACTTTTTCGCACCAAAATAAACTTGAAGTAACTTGTATGAACAGGATCGAGTATGAGGCACTAAGAAGGATAAGACATCAGTTTTAAAAGAACCCCTGTAACAGCAATATGAATTTTGCTAAAATTGAAGACAGAAAAAATAGCAAATTTATGGTGAAGCTTGGATGAAAGAATGGTGAAATCACTAACGCTTTATGAAAATTGTATGGGGATAATGATCCAAAGAAGTCAGCAGTTTCCCAATGGATAACTCATTTTAAGACGGAATGACACAATGTTGAAGCCCTCCAGGCAGACTATCACATCAATTTGCCAGGAAAATATGTATCTTGTTCGTGTCTTAATGGAAGAAGATCGACAATAAACAGCAGAATAGCCAATACCACAGACATCTCAATTGGGACAGCTTACACAACTCTGACTGAAAAACCAGAGCTGAACAAACTTCCCACTCGATGGGTGCCAAAACCACTGCACACAGATCAGCTGCACACAAGAGGAGAACTTTCAATGGACATTTTAACAGGTGGGATCAAGACCGTAGAGCATTACTTTGAAGAACTGCCACTGCAGATAAAACACGGCTTTACCAGTATGAACCTGAAAACACAATCAAAGCAATGGCTACCAAGACATGGAAGTGGTCCAGTCAAAGCCAAAGTGAACTGGTCAAGGGCAAAGGTCATAATGTGTTTTTGGATGCTCCAAGGCATTCTGCTTGCTGATTTTCTAGAGAACCAAAGAACAGTAACATTTGCTTTTTATGTGTTTTCAGAAAGTCAGCCAAAGCTTTAGCAGAAAAACGCCCAAGAAAGCTTCTCCAGAGTCCTTCTCCACCATGACATTATTCCTGCTCATTCCTTTCATCCAACAAGGGCTATTTAGTGAGCATTTTGATGAGAACCCATTAGGACCTTATGGTCCTGATTTGGCTCCTTCTGACTTATTCTTGTTTCCTAATCTTAAAAAGTCTTTAAAGGGCACTTATTTCTGTTAAGAATGTAAAAAAGACTGCATTTGACATGGTTCAATTCACAGGACTCTCAGTTCTTTAGGGATGAACTAAAAGGCTGGTATCATCATGGGCAAAAATGTCTTAAACTGGATAGAGCTTGAGAAACAAAGTTTATAGTTTTTATTTTTATATTTTAATTCAATTTTTCCCATAAACTTTTTGAAGTCACCGACATTCAGTAACAAGTGAAATTTACTCTTCTTTAGTAAACTGCATTACTAAAAGACCAGTACAGTTTCCTGAAAATGAGGAATCATACCCTGCCTCACTGATTTTGACAAAAGTATCAAGAGTGGAAAGAAAATATGCAAATAATAAAGCATCTCAAGTGTTCCTATTTTGGAGGTGGGAGAAAATTTTCAAATGAGCCTGGTATGGCATAGTCAAAAGCAGAACCAACATGGAACCTGATTCCCTAACTTCTAACCCAATATTCTATCATTTAAATAAGTAGGCATTCATTCAACATCTATGAGGTTTACATAAAGCCCTGGAAACACAAAGGAGAATAAGATACAGTTCCTGATCTCAAAGAGCTCTTCATCTAGAGGGATGGTAGAACAAGAGCAAATACGTGCTCTTAGGAAACATTCCCACATAGCACAAAGCACCAAGGTTGTGGAGAAGAGGAATGATGGTAGAGAAGGCCTCTAGGGATGACAAGTGGCCTGGGTTTTTCAAGATGGCTAAGAGTTCATCAGGAGAAACAAAGAGGGGAAAGCGGGAGCTTTTCAGAGAAGAGGAAAGCACATGAGGAGTGCAGAGCCAAGAAGCATGGCTCTGTGGAAGGGCTGTGTGTAGCAGGGTCATGCTACTCTAGCAGGGTACAAGCTAGAGGTGAAGGCAGAGAGAAGGCGTGGAGGAAGTGAGCTCATAAATCTAGACTTCATCCTCCCATGCAGAGGAGCCACTGAGGAGTTTTGTTCAGGCAATGCTATCAGATTGGTACTTCAGCAGACCACGAGTGGGTGGCTGGAAGAAGATGGGTTTGTGGAAGCCTTAGGAGGCTGCTGCTGCAGCAATCCAGATAGCAGGTGGTTAATGCTGATGTAGTGAGGTCTGCCGGATTGGGAGGAGGAAACATGACTAATACTTCCAAAGCCCTTCTACTGTCCTTCCCACCCCTTCAGCTCTCATATTTATTCATCATCCCATCCTTGCCTTAAATTTACCACCAAACAATACATTGTTTCTTTTTTGCCAAATTTTAATCATCATATAAATGAAAACATACAGCATGTATTCCCCTGGGACTTGCTTCAACTCAAAATTGTCTTCATAATTCATTCAGTGGTACACGCCAGTGTGCTCACTGATTTTAATAGCTATGTAGTATTACTTATCCTTTGCACTATTGGACTTTTGAGTGGTTTCCCATTTTTTTGCTGGTATGAACATAATGTCACGTACATTTCTACATACATGAAATTATTTAATTAAGGTATTTTTTAACCAATAAATAAAACTGCCAGGTAACAAAACTGGAAAATGTTTGATTTTACTAAGAAATGCCAAAATGTTTTCCAATCATAAGTGCATGAAAGCACCTGCTGTGCCACATCCTGGGTAACACTAGTTATCAGCAGGCTTCTTAATTTTGCCAATCTGATGGGTATAAAATGGTTTTTACTTTGGTTTCCATTTGCATTCCCTGATCATGAATTAATTCCCTGTAATTACACTGAGCAACTTATCTCACCAAGCGATAAGTGGACAAGTTTCTCTGGTATGGTATCTATTCAAATATCATATCCTTTTTTTTTTCTTTTTTTTTTTTTTGAGGCTGAGTCTCACTCTGTCGCCCAGGCTGGAGTGCAGTGGTGCAATTTCAGCTTACTGAAACCTCCGCCCGTTAGGTTCAAGCAATTCTCCTGCCTCAGCCTCCCAAGTAGCTGGGATTACAAGTGTGTGCCACCACGCCTGGCTAATTTTTGTATTTTTAGTAGAGACGCGGTTTCACTAGGTTGATCACGTTGGTCTCAAACTCCTGACCTCAAGCGATCTGCCGCCTTGGTCTCTGAAAGTTCTGGGATTACAGGCGTGAGCTACCATGCCCAGCCCTCATATCCATTTTTCATAAGTTATCTTTTCTTCTTAAATTACATAGCTTTACTGTATGTAAGCTAGACGCACAACTTTTGTCAGTTATATGCATTACAAATACCTCCCCTTTTTTTCATGTGTAATTTGTTTCCTTTTATGAACACAACTTCTTCATTTGATTGAATTCATCAATCTTTTCCTTTATGGTTTGTTTATATTTTGTCTTCAAAACTCCTTCCCTTAAACAAGATCATAAAGACAATTCTCCTTTACTTTTTCTAAAACCTTATTGTAGTGTGCCTTTCTCCTTAGGTCTTTTATCCACCTGAATTTTTTTTTTTTTAAACACAGAAAAAAGAGTCTGTCTCTGTCCTACTTTTTCCCATTCCTTCAAGAGTTCTGATTAGGTATGTAAGAAATCACTTTACCCTCCAGATTCCCACCTTTCTTCCGACACATTCGGCATTTACATTTACATGTCTGGCTATGTTGGATTCTGAATGTTTCCTTCACATCTATCTTCTATTCTAGTTCATTAACTTCTCCTCAACTGTGTCTAACCTTCTGATTAACATGTCTACTGAGGGTTTTATTTCAATTACAATTTCTTCTTTTTTTTTTTGAAACAGAGTCTCGCTTTGTCATCCAGGCTGGAGTGCAGTGGCACAGTCTCGACTCACTGCAACCTCCAAGTAGGGGACTACAGGCACATGCCACCATGTCCGGCTTTTTTTTTTTGTATTTTTAGTAGAGATGGGATTTCACCACATTGGCCAGGCTGGTCTTGAACTTCTGACCTCAGGTGATCCACCTCGGCCTCTCAGAGTGCTGGGATTACAGGCGTGAGCCACCACACCTAGCCTCAATTATAATTTCTAATAGCTGAATTTGGTTATTTTCAAATCTGATTGTTTCATGCCTATATTTGCAAGCATTCTTATTTTTTTCTTTAAAACTTAAAATATATTATACTTTATCTCGTAATACTAATATCTAACATTTATGCAGGTCTGCTTCCACATCTGTTATCTGTGCAAGTTCTCATTCACAGTACTTTGCTTGCTTGTACATTAGTAGTATTTTCGCTGTGAAGTGTTCATTTTCCTTCAAACTTCATATATGGAAATTCCGTGAAGCCTGGGATGGACCTCTGGTCCTCTCAAAATAATTATTTACATTTGCTTCAGCGTCACATGTGAGGGCATTACCAGTCTGAGACAACCCTGAACAAAATTACTTACTTAAGATTTGTCCAACTTCCCAGTTAGTATAATGCTGGCCACACTAGGAGAACAGCCCATCATTATAAACATTCAAGGCTTTATTCACTGACCCCCACCCCACTCCCTTAGCCCCAAGGCTCAGGATGGGCAATTCTCCTTGCCATTCTGTAGGGTGGATTCCAGCTGTATTTTGAGTTCAGCCTGACATTGCAGGTATAGCCTTTCAAGTCCTGCTCCATGTAGAGGGTCCTGACTGTCTCAAGTTCTCCTGATTCAGTAACAACACTGGTTTAAATATTCCACTCAACTCTTAAAATTTTGAACCTGAGTATCTTTATTTGTTTGCCAATTTATCAGCGTATTTACTATGTTTTTCCGTTATCACCCACATTTATTTTGTTGTTGGCTGGAGGAAAGTCTATCAAGTTATTTAATCTGCAATATTGCCAGAAACAGAAGTCATTTTCTTCATTTCTTTCTTCATCTCCACCCCCTTTATTCTTTTACTTTTCTTCTTCACCACTTCATTCAGGAAAATACCCAGGAAAACTGCAATTAATTTGAAACACGGACAAAACACTTCTCCTGTCTCCGAAAATGCCCTAACATCCATCTTCAGGCCCCAAAGTAACATGATTTTAAGACATACAAAATCAAAACTCAAAAATATAAAATAAATGAAATAAAGTGTACATGCTATAGTGATATACCTTCCATTGATGAAATAAACTCAATCTCGCCATCTGTATTTGTAGTTAAGACACTGAAAAACTTCTTTAACTTTTCATTCATCGTAAAATTCTAGAATACGAAAACAAAACAAAATGATTACTTCTGCAGTTATTCTAAACACATTAATTTCATTGTGTAATTAGTGTGATACCTTCATGGAGAGGCTCCACTTATGGTAATTGGCAGTCAGAGGTTCTACTGCTAACGACAGCAACAACTCAGTAGGAAAATTCTGGAACATTCTGCTGTGTAATTGACCTGAAATAATTTAAGTACAAGAGAAATAATTTAAACACACAAAAAATAAAATCCACTGAAATCGCTTATCTGCACCCAAAGAGAAGCCACTATGAAGATATAATCAAGATGACTAAATGATAAGCAAAACACATCATTTCCATAGAAGTATTCCAATCAAGTTACAAAATGTGTTTAACATAAACTCAAATATGCTCCAGATATAAGTAATTTTCTTCTAGAATTTTAACATGAATAAGTAAAATTCTTCTGATATGAGTATTGGCAAGCTATAGAATAGGCAGGGAATCTTAACTAGATTTCCACAGACTATTCTGAAAAACAGTTAAAACTTTCCATGGGTGTACGTATTTGCCCAGGAAAGGATCCAAAACTTTCAACATATTTTCAGAAGTATCTGGGACAAACAAATAAAAATAAAAACAATGTAGAAAAAAACACGAACCTAGCCAAGAAATTTTGACTCAGTAAACAGATCAAAAAGCAATATATCTTAGTGGTCAACCCTGAAGGTGCTGCACAGACTCAAACACCAACAAACAGATTTTGAAAAAAAGAAACTGACGTTTTCAAGGTGATAGTGCCAGCTGTTGCAAACCAGGCCCCTTATTCTTGCTAGAGACTTCCATGAAAATCGCAGCTCCCTGAAACATTCCTTTTCTGTATAAACTGGGTTCTGGCAACAGAATCAAAGTACTCTGACCTAATACATGTACTTCCCACCGGGTTTTTGCAATTATTAAGTGAGACAATGGAAGAAAGAGCTTTCAAAAGCATAAAGCATTCTATAGGTTTTAAGTATGACTGCTACTTTCCTTGCAAAATCCTCAAGAGAAGAGAAATAGCTGGTGGCTTCAATTCTAAGCATTCAGAGATCAAGTAACCAACAACAATCATTATCTACTTATACAGAGTGGTATCATTAAGAATCTTTCTGGTCTTCATCCTGGGTTCCTGACAGGAAGCTTCTAAAACCCTTAGAATTCCTGGAGTGATAAAAGTATTTTTGTTATGCTAATGTGGTAATTCAAGGTGGGTCCCTCAAATATTTCAGGATGAAGACTAATCATTAGAAACACTAACTTCTATGATCAGAAAGTTGAAACTTCGAGCCAGCCCAATCAATCTCCAAGTATGAAAGAGGGGCTGGAGATTTGAGTTCAGTCACATAGGCAATGATTCAATCAATTATTTCATAACAACATTCCAGTAAAAACTCTAGACACCAAAACTCACTGGAGTTCCTGGTTGCTGAGTAAATACAGCGCTTCCGGGTGGATCCTCTAATCTCAGCACTTTGGGAGGCCAAAGTGGGCGGATCACCAGAGGTCAGGAGTTTGAGACCAGCCTGGCCAACATGGTGAAACCTTGTCTCTACTAAAAAGATAAAATTCAGCCAGGTGTGGTGGGGCGTCTGTAGTCCCAGCCACTCAGGAGGCTGAGGCAGGAGAATCCCTTGAACCCTGGAGATGGAGGTTGCAGTGAGCCGAGATTGCGTCACTGCGCTCCAGAGTGACAGACTCTGTCTTAAAAAAAAAAACTTATTTAATTCTCACACACAAAAAACCCCTAAGCGTTAGACCCTTTTGCAAATGAGGACACTGAACCTCAGAGGTAAAAATGATTCCTCAAGGTCAAAGTGAGAAAACTAGGACTCAAAACCAGATTCCATTTCAGAGTTCTTCATCACACACAGTCCTGATATCACTAGAAGCAATGAGTTATTAAAATTCACAATTCCTTAAGTCATCCTCATAAATGAGTATAAGGATGGTAATTCACATCTTCAACCTGTGTAAATAAATTAAATGCTAATGTTGTAAGCATTTTTTTCTTCAGGGAAAAGGCTAAAAAGAAAATAAAAATAAGCACTTTTACTTTCATATTTGTTACTTACTAATCCTGCCCAGCAAATATTTTTTAAAGGGTTGAAAGAGTACTCTTACCTCCAGTGAAGTTCAGCGGCATTGCCACGTCAACAGTATTTGTGACAGTTAATAAGAACTCTCCACTAATCAGTAGTGAAAGCTCTTCAAATCCAAGGCATGTGCCCCACACAGGAAAATAGTCTCCATCATGAAAACTCTTTGCAAGTAGAAAAAGAGAAAATTAAGTTTATTCAAACTTTTCAAAATAAAAATTAGCCATATCTTTTGTCATTACCAAACAGGCACCTGAGTTACACATGGATTTCTGAAGCATTCTCCAGGATCCATAAGTAGGCTATCACTTACTCTCTCTTCAGACGAAGCTCCCACACAGGCTGGAAAACATGAGCTGCGGACACACTGTATATCTTGACCCAAAGACTATAAAAGCCTACAGATTACTGACCTTAGCTATTAAAAGTTTGAAACAAGTATTTCAAAGGCTAAAAACACTTATTTAGGGAAATATTTAAGCGGGGATTGGTAAGATACTAGGGCTAGCAAGATTAATTTAAAAATCACTGTTAATAGTTGAGGAGAGAAACAGTAAGGGTTTGAGCTATGGTACAAAGGCAGTCCCACTGTGACCATTACAAAGGAGAAGTCAGAGGCTCAGAAGCTCTGCTTGGTAAATGAACATGGAGTCTACGGTAACTGTGAAGAAAGTTCTAATAGGATTGAATGAGTTGGGAAGAAGAACAGATTTCAAGAAGTGAGAATTAATAACACAGAAACAATGCCGCAAAAAAATAAAATAAAATAAGAGGACAGAGAGAGACATCAAAATGTCTACACCACATGAGGACATGGTTCACATTAACAAGCATCAAGAGAGGACCAGTCAGCAGGGCTCTGAAGGGTCTCTGGAAGCCCAGGATTAGATGAAGCACGTGGAAAACACTTTTATTTGGGTGCAGCCAAGAACAGGTGCCTCAAGGTTAAAGGTATGATGAGGCTAAGGGTAATTTTGAAGGGAGCATTACCATCTGCTTAAAACAAGAACTACTCTCACTAAAACTTACAAAACTTACAAAACTTACAAAAATCCATCTGGAATAACAAGCAATAACTGATATTTACCTGTATGGACAAGTCGTAAAATATTTTGGCCACTTTAGCATAATCTGAGCGCCTCAGGTCAACACTTCCTCCAGGGAAAAGGATTCTGAAACAACGTCACATAAATCAAATAGGGTGTATTTTGCCACCCCTGACCCATACACACACAGAAAACAATCTTTTTATTTTAAAACAATTTTTCTTATTACATATGCAATAAGATCCTTGAAGAAAATTAGAAAAACAAAAAAGAAATTATAAAATATTTACAATCCCAGCCATTCAGAAACTACAGCAGTTAACAACACTTTAGAGAATATTTTCCAAAAACCTCTTCAAAAAGTTTATTTGATGAAATAGAGTGTGGGAAAATTAAAAGTAAATAAGTAGGGGAGGGGCAAGAGTACACAGAGCTAGATATCAAAGACGGACAAAATTCCAGGTTTAGCCAGGTTTAAAAGAAGGTGATCTGTCATGCCAAATCAATTGCAGGTGGGTAGGACTTAGCTCACAAATAATTTAACTATAAAGAACAAGCTGGTCATAAAAAAGATATTTAAGCTGGAATTAAATTTCTCCAAGAACTTAATTCTTATCATCCTGAGTCTCTTCAGAAATACACATGGTATTAGAACATTTTTTTCAAGAAACATAATTACGATTCTACAAAAAGTCTAGGAAAAGGAGGCAATCAAAAATATTTGATATTCTTTTACACACTTATAAAGGTGAAATATAGAAAAC